ATATATATATTATTTTCCGCTAAAAAAGCCTCCTAAATGTTTCTAAAACTAATAGAAGCAACATCATTCTCAACACATTCTATTAATGTTCTACTACTCTAGTAGAATTACATCTTTTTTCTAGCCTAGCTGGAAACAAAATGTCTTTATGATCACGCAATAACATATTTTTCAGCAATTATGTGTTGTAGTTTCAAACTTACATTGCAATTAAGGGGCGCTGAATTTGAGTATAGGCGTATTCATTTTACACACACACACACACAAAAAAAACGCCTCCCTCGAATAAACTTCCCTTCAAAAACTCTTCTAAACAATAAGCACAGTATGTGAATTATACAGGCCTAATTTAGCTAAAGTTAAGCGAATGAGACAGGTCTAAATTGTTTGGCAAACGTCGCTTAGTGATATCAACTTTGTTTTCAACTTGTTTACAATTATATTACTGACCATTCCGGAAATTGTACAGTAAAAAATCATCACATTCATCATGAACTATACAAAAGTATAAACAAAAACTTTTGAAACGTCGCCACTAACATTTTCCATAAAGACAATTGGTAAAAAAACTAATCGAACTGGAATCGCCATGTACATTGTACATCCTCAATATTCCCAAAAGGTTGGTGGCTTTTGCGTGAATTTTAATGGAACGGCATTAAACAAATCCTACTGATTTGTACAAGTTTAATGGACGCAGTTTGCAAACGGCCGGCCGCAGGTGGAGGATTTAACTCCGCTTCATATAAAAGCGTTCAGACGAACTTTCAATTCATTCCATCCCAACTTAAGAGGAGGGGAAATCGTCAGTACAATTTCACAGGTAAGCGATGTCATTTATAATTGATCTATAGGATTCATTCAATCTGCAAATATAAATTCATATACATACAATTACATTAAGTTAAATGGATTGTATTATAGTGAAATAGCCACAATAATAATAACTGTGAAAAAAAGTAATTTATTATGTCTTAAACCTGTTCAAAAGAATTCGATTGTTCTCCCACAGGGCTATGGTAAGTACATTATCTGGTTGAATGAATTCTTAAATATGTATTTACAATATGATACATGTGATGCATGATAATAATAATAATATTAATAATAATAATAATAAATAATGATAATAATAACAACAAATAATATTAATAGCAGTAGTAATAATAATAATATTAAAAACAATATAATAATTATAACAGGTCTAATATTACTACTAAATATATTGCTTAATTTTAATCTGTTTTTCTCTTTGTTTTAAATACGTTCTTCTTTTGGTCAAATTGGTTAAACTTTAGGTCATATATTCCTTAGCGGCCTGCTGATTATAAAATAATTGGATAAACTAACTACCACTACCACTGCTGCTGCTGCTGTACTATTTATTAAAACAATATTCTAACCATAACTACAAAATGATGGTAAATTACCGACAGTGTTTTCGGTACTTCCATTGTATTGAGGTTTAAGTCGAAGGCGGCTGGGCCTGGACGTTAAAAGATATTCAATTTTGAATGTGAACTTCTGATAATTCATTAAGCTGCAACAACTTCCTAAGTTAATGAAAAGGACATGTTTGAGTGTGCCAAGATTTGGCCTCTGCCACTAACTTACGACTAACACAACACATGATTCCTTGCTACTGATATTTTAGTCGAAATCTAGAGAGAGGAGAGTAGTCAAAAAAGTAAAAGGAACTAGATTATTGCCAGTACGCCCCCAATAGTCGACAATATTATAGAAAATCTGAACGTGCTGATTCGCCAATCATAATTCATCGACTAGTTTGCATATTACATCGCCACAGAAAGCTACATCGAAGCTGCATCATTTCATGCTTTAACGCGATAACTTGTAAACTGTGCTTTTAGCTGTAAGAATACTTGCATACCTTTTTTATATTTGTGTAAATGATACCTTTTTTTTAAATTTGACATAACTATTTATGGGTACATGCGAAGTGTCGCTATAACGAATGAAAGTGACTGTATGACTAGCTGATGTTATAACGTCGTTGAATTATATCCACATTAACTTTATACCTCCTTGATTAGGCTGTCCGTTAGATCAACAAAATGAGGTTGATAACATTAGTGAGCGCGGTGGTATTGCTTCATGCAGTAGCTGCTACACATTACCGAGGTGGAACTTTTTATTGGGAGAAATTAAGTGAATCAAAGGTAAGAACTTGTTTTACTCAAAACAATACAGCATGTTATCTTGATTATAAAAAAAATCAATGATCCGCAGCCTGTAATGAAAGTGCCTTAAATGTCTAAAAGAAATTCCAGAGACAACCAAAATATTTTCAGGAATCAGATAATAATGATGATCGAAGAGGATAAATTTTTTTCTAATGTTGATAGTTTGATTATGAATCACACAGTTGATGAATGACATAGTAACAGACACATTCGGGATCAAAAACAGCGTCCGCTTAAGGCGTGTCCCTGAATAGGTTACACTTAATAAACATTAACCTAGAATGCAACTTTATCCCCTTAAGACGGTTTTGGCACACAGTCCTACAACCTGACCATAGATAATTTTAACATTTTAGTGCAATTTACTTTAAAAAGAGTTACAGTAGAAACTAACTTGCAAAATTCTCGAATTAATGATATAAAATCGACACAAATATAAATAGGCTACAAAAATGGACCTCCCAGCAGAAGTTGCGTTAAACAAATATAAATAAAACAGCGCTTCCATTGCTTAAATGCTATCAATGAATGATCAAAGATTATTATTTTGTTATAATATTGAGCTTTCTATTGGATGTGCAATATATATAAATGAATTAGAAATCAGGTTAGGAATTGAAATATCGTATATGAAATTACACACAAAAAATGGCTAAAAAAACTTAAAATTGGTTGAATAGGGTTTTTTGTATACTCAAAAAGTGTTCTCGACTCTTTGATAATGTGTCGTAGTGTTACAGGGTATAGTTTTCCAGTGTCTTCTTATTGGACTGTCACTGAATAGATGTGTCCCAAAAGAAGAAATTCTACTCTAATAGCCTTCATCTTCACAGAGACCACAAATGTAGTTGAACATTTCTCCCTTTCTGTTTCCATCAGATTAAAGTGTACTGGCGAATGGCCTTTCAACTGATCGGTTACTATCCGGAGTACTACTGCACCCACATTGGTCAGGAGCTTGTAGCTGAGACTTTACTTGCGCTTGAATGTAATGACTGTCCTCAAATTAAGAACATTCTGAGTCCACTCAGTATGGAGTGCGCCTCCATCAGTCAGGAAATGGGTTGGAGTATACTCAAAGGATCCACAATCTTCCAAGCAGATGTTCCGATCTTTCAAATGATGTGAGTAAATAGCAAAGATCTTATAATAAAATAATAATTATATTATAAGGTCTTTGGTAAATAGTATTGAATTTTCTTTATACTATAAAACCGCTGTTTTCACATTAAGAGTTCCTCATCACAATTTGATTTTAATAACTATTTTAATAAATCGGATTCAACACTAGCCACAAAGTGTACGCTCTGTGGTCTAGTGGTTATGACACCACCAAGCTATAAAGTTATCTGGATGTCGTGGGTTCGATTCTCAGTCGAATAACTTGCGATATTTTTTCGCAAGTATTTGGGAACGTACTGAGCATTTAGTACGATAACACGTCAGGTAGGGCAAAACATCATTCCTATTTTAAGAAAGCGTAATTAGGGATTTTCTATTAAAGATTTCATTCGATAACCTAACTACTATCTGAATACGGAGCATTTATGTCTATTCAACAGTTACCACACAACAGGACCATGCACTGATAGTAGTTGGGTAAAACTTGAAAATTACGGACCAGGAAGATGCTGGTCTCTTCTCACAGATGTCGATACCACAATTGAAAACAATTCTCCGAGAATAACGGCTGGCCTTCCAGTCTACCGAGTTCGCCAAGGCTGCAAGAGAGTCATTGATTTAAGTCGTAAGTTAGTTTATTTCCAAAAAGTTGTTTTTATATATTACTATTGTGCCTGAAATTGGATTATGAATGATATGCCAAACAGAGAACTTAGTCATTTTCTAAGTGACAATCCCTTCACAAGACAAACATACACAAACGATGTTTTACTTATGTCTCAATGTGAGACGTTATAGGAGTTGATTTTTTTTGGCCGAGAAAAACAATCATGTTACCGGGACTGAAATTTAACATAGGACCATGGGATTTGGAGGTCAGCATTGTAACCATCAAATTATTCAACTTCACTTGTTGCTAAACCTACATGGGGGTTTTCGTGAAAGAATTACAACTGACGTACACATTATGATGAGCATGAGTGAAATGAAGAATAGCCTTCTATTAATTATATATTAAAAGATTGTCATTAATTGATATTGGTTGATTGATTGGCTATACTTTCATACCTTGCGGAATTTATTGGTATGACGAATAACTGAAAGATAAATAGATAATTTTTTGTTTATTATAGAATCACGTTCAATGACGACAGCTTTCATTAGAGCATATGATTGGCGTGGCGTTTATTTGATTAATTTAAGAAATTGGGAGTGTGTAAAGTGATTGATTTATTTATCAATTAATTAAACAATCCTATATTTGATAGGTTGAGTGATTGTTTTTTTATTGATTGATTGATTGATGATTGATTGATGATTGATTGATGATTGATTGATTGATTGATTGATTGATTGATTGATGGATAGATGGATTGATTGATTGATTTCATTAATTGATTGATTGATTGCATACTTGATTGTGCTGGTCGGTTGGTGAGTTTAATGGTTTTATTGTTTGGGTGGTTAAATGATTGGTTGGTGGATTGATTGCTTTATTAATTGACTGATTGATTGATTGACTAAATGGTAGATATGCTGATAAACTATTTACTATAGTTATCTCTCAACAGCAACGGATCCTGACATCTCCGATACTATTAGATGTCGATGGGCTAATTCTTCAGCTTTAGAGTGCCCAATGAAACGTAGTGCCTCCGATTTGACTCCAGTTTGTGATCAACCAACAGAAATTACATATTTGGATAAAGTAAGTAGGCCTATCTTTATCAAGTTTATAATATCAAATATACATCACAGATTTTCTTTTTCAAATAAACTATAAAGTAATTGCAGTTTTGATTGAGACATTCTATATATTCTATGTTTTATTTGTTACCCACAATCAGCAGACGGCTTCGCGTCGTCAAGTTCAGGTCGTATGACTCTCGTCAAGTGCCCGATTTTTTTTGGAAACCGAATTTGTTATCGTTTTCCTATGATTGAAAAGGCTCCCAAGTTATGAATATATACTCTAGTGGCGGTGCCAAAGACTCCCGAAAGAGGGGTGAAGGAGGGGGGCTAAGCTTTTTAATAGAAAGATCAACCGACCTAAGCCCACCATTATAAGAAAAAAAACACCTCTAGAACCTCAGAAATGGCACTCAGGACCGTCAAAATACTTTTTAAAGCACCTTACAGACTAAATAATGGGCTGCTTTGCAATGTTTTCCCAACCAGGCCCTGGCCCCTATACCCCTGCCGGTGTCACAATTGATATTGTAATAACAAATGATACCTTTTATAACAGGAGCGTTGCACTATCCAATTTGAAACTGGTGAAGATGATCTTCCAGGTTGGTACGGAGCCTCTGTCATGATTGAAGATTTCTCAACACCAGAAAGCAAGATAGCCAAGAGTACCGTTCCTTATCAATTTCTTCTCGACGTGACACAGCGTGAGTAGAGTACATAATATTTATTTGCTATTGTAATCAGTGGTATATATCTGTCTCTTATACACATCTAGATGTGTATAAGAGACAGATTATTGTCGTCAATTGCATAAACGTAGAAGGCGTATCATATTGATCTCCTTTTCCTTGCACCAAGGACTAATGTTTTTCGATTACCTTTCAGCTGGATCTTGCATTGGTCCCGTGATTCAGGTAGACGAGTGTACAGTAATTGCTCCTGGTGAAAGTTACCGTGGCAAAGTTATCGCCTATATTCCTCCTGGAAGTGACGGTAACATGTATGTCAACAAACGTATATGACTTTCTTTCAAATATGGTTGTATCAATCTAACATAAGTGCTAAATCAATGTTTATTGGCCTAAACACAGTCATTTTATTATAATGATGTTAATGATCATACCCACACATTAAATTTAATAAATAGTTAAACAGTTGATAAAATAATAATAACAATTCAATATTTTTATTTATCAACTATTATAGTATATATTTTTTTTAAATTAAATTTAATGATGTGTGGGCACGATCATCAAAATCTATCCACATTAATAAAGTAACATACCACATTGTGATTTATTGAAGTGTTATTGTGAATTTAGAATTACTGAAATCCAAGGAAGCTGGCCCGATGAGATGACGTTTGAATACACTAAACACCCGCCCTCAACCAGAGTCCAAGCTATTGTCACATTTAGCGCATGGAAGGAGGGAACATACGCCTTCAGTTTCACAGCTACTGATGATAACGGGTACGCTTGCCTAAATAAAGTGCGCCATCTAGTTTGAGACCACTTTTGTTAACTGAAAATTTGAGATTTTCTCGGTGTTCGGTCTCCAATAAGAGGGTTAGCTTTGTGTTAGAATTAGATTGTTAGCTGGTAATTTGTAAAAAGTGGTCTCAAAGTAGAGGCGTCTCGGAATTAGAATTGCCTGTAATTAGAGGATGAACTGTACATTGAAATTCTGTCCTCAACCTCCAGCAGAAAGTTACTACTTGAATAAATATCAGTTAATCGTCTATTCTCTTCACGCCCTGCCAATTTCTAATAATAATAATAATAATTAATAATAATAATAATAATAATAATAATAATGATAATAATAATAGTAGTTACATTATAGTGATAATGGTGATGATGATGTACAGCAATAATAATTTAAATTTAATAACAAATAACACACGATAGCTTATAAATTTATTTTAACTGCTAAGTTTTTAGAAGGGTTTTCTAAACAATTCTATCGCCAATATTTGACGGCAAGTTAAATATTAATTAATGGATAATTTGTTTGTTATTATTAAAACATATAATACTTTAATAGTATTACACTGTATTTTTGTATTGTCAATAATAATGTTGTTTTTATAGCGTGCAAAACGATCCAAAGACAGGAAGAATTGTTGTCACTGTACAAGAGAAGGTTGTGCTTGACGAAATTACACCACCACAAGTGTTGCCAGAGTTGTCTTACCCCACCGCAGCCGAACCATTGGATCTAGAACGAAGCGAATGGCATCTCACATTTGACCAAAAGGTATGCCAAGCCCGACCCGAAGTGAAATTAGAAAGAAACTTCCATCTATTTTTTCAACTCTTC